GGAGGGCCCTGCTCCTTGGAACTTTCAATGTAAGAGAATCCAGTTGAACAGTTGCTTAGTGCAAACAAGATACAAAAACATGGTACTTCTCAAATGTATAAAATCCTTACTGCAATAACAGAAGTTACTTCTCCTCCTTATATAAAGAAGTTGGAAAGGGAACTAGGAATATCATTCGATGAGCAACAGAAAAAGAAAATATTAAGAATGACACATGGGGCCGTAGATATGAAGGTGGTGGAAATTAATTATAAATGTTTAGCTAGGTGGAATATTACACCAGGTATAGCACATAAGCAACAAGCAGACAAATCACCTATGTGTTGGAGGGGATGTGGGACTAAGGGTACAATGGCACATATATGGGAAGTGTCCTAAAATTCAGGAGTATTGGGGAAAAATAATTCAGCAAATTCAGGAGATAACTGGGGATAATGTCCAGAAAGATTCAGAAGTATGCTTATTTCACAAAACCAAGGTTACAGTAGAAAAATGTAAGAACTCTGTGATATTCCATCTAATAAATGCAGCAAAGGGACTGATACCCACATTTTGGCAGGTACCGAAAATAAAAGATTGGATAGGTTTAAAGAAAGATGGGAAAAATGGAATGAGTTTAAAAGATTAAATAAACCTGCTGAAGTGGAAGAAATAGAGAAGGAGGAGAAAAGGGGACATGTATAAATAAGATAGGGAAAGGGGAGAAAGGTAGAAAAAGAAACAGGAAAAGGGTTGTACCGGGAGTATTCATAAAGGAGGAGGAACGGTGAGCTAATTGAAAAAAGAAAAATGGGAGTGGATAGGGATAGGGGTGGGAAGGGAAGGAGGGTAAGGAACGGGGAGGGGGGAGAAAGGTATAAAGGAAATTGTCTCTGTTGATTATTATGATAATTTATTGATGTAAAGTTGAAATATTGAAAACTACTAAAATATTTTTTATTAAAAAAATAAATAAAGTATATGAAAGTGATATACATTTACAAAAATCTCTCACACTCTTTTTGGATTCTCTGAATAATGCTAGACTTGTTAAGGTTTGGTTACAAGTAGATTTGAAACTTTGCCAGTCTCACAGTCTTGGATAATGGATGTGAAGGTCCATCTAATCAAGTATTATACATATTAAAGTATGGTTAAAATGTAAATTTTGTACACATAAGTATTAAATTACCTTGCATTTCAACAAAGTGCAAACACATCCCAGCTAATCTTATTAAACAAATCTTTATGTATAAGAATATAAAAAAAATCTCTTTGTTGATCCAAAGTAGTCCAAACATTAGCTGTGCTTTAACCTCCTAATTCTCGATCTTATGTGTATCTGCTTCTCTTAGTGATTCTGACTTTTCTAAACAATTGTGTTCCTCAGCCCTTGTTTGCAGGCCACCATCCAAAATGTATTAAACATAATATTAGTAGATAACCAAAGAGATCTCTGTAATGCACTTTTTTTTGGTTTATCTTCAGTGTTAACCTTATTCTGATATATGACCTTAACTACAAAGGTCTCATTTTACCAGACAGCCACAAAGAGAGGTGAAGTGTAGTTAAAGTCGGAAGATGCAATTTTGTGTTGTTATTCTTCTGGGGTATAAAGCTCATATTTTTAATTATTTTTCTAACCCCCTAAATAATAATATTAGGATACCAGTGAATTACGATACCTGACTCACACCAATTCTTTTTGCTTCCCGGGAGACTCCCCCTTCCTTCCAGTCTTCCTCACTGCCTCTACGTCACCCCTCGTTTTTCTTTTTTTAACTCCCCATCCATCCCTATCATTCTATATACCTCCTTTCTTCTTCTCACCCTCATTTTACTTTCTTTTATACTCCTTAAAAATTGCTATGCAAAGACCCTAGTTGGACGTCCTGCACCAGGCTTCACCTTATGTAAATAAAAATGTATCAGCACCTCTACATGTACGTCTGAGGGACCATCTTCTAAACCTAGGTTGATGCCTACATGGTCCACTTAGAAGAGTCTCCAAAGCTTGGTACCTTTGTTACATTTTTGATCTTGCTACCTGCCTACATACTGCATAGTCTCATCCTTTTATTGTTGCTTTAAGCAATTTTATTTTTGAAAGGATGTACCTGTACACTGATTGAACATATACTATCCTATCTTGACATTATGTTCTGTGAAGTTACCTTTCTGTTGCATTTTATTAAATAAAAAAAATACAAAAAGAACAATATTAGGCAACAAAGTTGCTAAAATATGGGCAACCTTGCAACTGTGTAGTGAATGTCCATCCCATTCTCCTTTTTTCTGAGTTATTATCCATTGCAGTTCAACAGGCATTTAAGAGTGTTTCTAGTAATACTACAGTTTTTTTATTGCATTTTTCTGAAAGCAATAGCAAAAAGTGCATGGAACTAAATAGCTAGCATTTCCACAGAATTCAAATCAGGATAATTCAGAAATTATTGGATATCAGCATTCATAGATCTTTAGTTAGCAGAACAGAATGTACAGCTCAGTTTACATTGCTGGAGCATTCCCTGTGTCCTATGATGACTGACTCTTGCGCATAAGCAGGAGTTACATTATCCCGCACCAGCCACTCTGAAAAAGGGATGAACGTATGATCACAAAATTGTATGCTAAATTTTTGTTGCTGCTGCCCTTCAACTCCTGGCTCTGGAGAAATATTCACAGAAAAATTGCCAATAAGGACTAAAGTGGGTTTGAAATGAGTCTCCCACAAAATTGGATCCGTTTTCCAGTATCTTTCTTGCAGTGTTCTTTCTAGCCGCCAATATTTTTAGTCAGTTTGTGTTTCCAGCCATGCTAAGGATGAGCTTAAGGTTTGGTCTGGAGACAAATTTGGAATGAACTTTGGCTGTTTGCATGTTCATCTGAAAGCCCATACATTTACCCGTTCGGTGGGAGCCAAACGCCATGTCTAAATACTACACTGTATAATAATAACACAAACAGCGAAAAATAATTTGTTATAGTGCTAAATCAATATGAAAAAATTATTATAAACAAAAATATTATTATAAAATATAGTTCCACTCCAAAATTCGTGAAGAAAATATGACAAGTGAAAAAATAAAAAAATTAAGAAAAAGCTCCTTAAATATTCAGAAAGTCCTTTTTCCAAAGAAATGTGCTTCCACCGAAAATTAGTACTCAAACCAATATAAACTGCACTCACCAGATTATGGTGATAAAAACGCCTTTTAGGTATTTGTGGGATCCTAGACCCTATAATATGCCTCCAGATCTCCACTCCACCACAGGAAAGCTTTCCTCCAATTTCCAACACCACCAGGTTCCACTTCCCAGAAAAACTCAATGTAATGTAGGAGAGATAAAATAACATAGAACCAGCAAACACAAATGCTCCTGCACTTGGGGATGGACTCGATGCAGGCTACAACCACATTAAGAATGTCCTGGAACATGCACACCTTGCTGCCCTCAAATAGACCGGGGGAATCCAAATATACTGAATGAGGCAAGAACAAACAGAGGGCCCACAGGCCTAGTGCATTACCATAAAAAATGTTTAATAAGAAATAAAGTAGAGCCTGAGGAAGAGGCAAGACCTCGAAACGCGTCAACCTATTGTATATCTACACTCCCTATTGCGGACTGTTACTCAGCGCGGTGTTGACCCAGCTGTTCTTTTATGATGTGCCTTGACTTTATTGTCATTTGTGAGTACAACACCTACTTTATTTCTTATTAAACATTCTTTATGGTAATGGACTAGGCCTGTGCGCCCTCTGTTTGTTCTTTCCTCATTCAGATAAAATAACATAGCGTAATACTGCAACACCCGGCTATATCAATCATCAAATACCAGGCCACTCACATTTTTAAAGATAAAAACCAGCATTTTAATTGCATGAGATGAATCCACAATCGTCACAAACTTCAGGGTGGTTTTCAGAGATCCCACAGTCAGCAGCAGCAGATAATTTTTGTTTATAATAATTTTTTCATATTGATTCAGCCCTATAAGAAATTATTTTGCGCTGTTTGTGTTATTATTATAAATTTTTGGTGTAAGGTTGCACTTATGTACAGCAGCATTTGATTTGGTTTTATTTTTTTTTTTTTTTGGCGCTGGTGATTTACGTTTAAATACTACACTGTGGTTACTGACCATATATTGTAATGTCTATATATCGTCAATGCCAATTTAAGAATTTTTCCATAAAATTTTACTCTGCACCCAGGACCAAACACTAATTCTGAAGCATAATGGGTCTAGCATGCATTCCTTTATGCATTTCATCACCTTTCAGAGTATACACAAGTTTTCCATCCTAGAGTAGTGGTATTCCATATACATTACTTATAGGGATACATCATAACCATAGTGAGACAGTCCCACCAATAGATACAGATATGCTTTGTATTTTATCTGCATATTCTTAAGTATATACGGGCAATAACTGGGTGCTGGATTAGGAAAATACTCCTAAATGGTGAGGTACCCCTGCCTTATGTATGTTGGGAGTGAACTTTGGCTGTTTGGGCATTCATCCAAATGCTGGTACGTTTACCCATTCAGGGGAAACCAAACGCCATGTCTAATAGCTGTACCACAACAGTGTCATATTTGTCCATATATTGTCATGTCCACATCAATGATCAATGACATCACAGGGAGGCCCTGCCCCTACACACATACCTCTCCAAACATCCCCTAAAATACATAGCAGAGCCTTGGTGGGGTCTATGTGCTTTTTTTATTGACAAAGAAGCTGGCATTGTCAGCTGTTAACCACATGCCGCCCAGCCACTGTAGAAATACGGCGGCAGGGCGGCACGGCTGGGCAAAACCACGTTTTAAAACGTGTGTTTTTTAAAACAGGTAGGGGGCACGCACGAGGCGCGCCGCCGCCCTACCTGTCCCGCCGATCATGGCCGCGGATGTCAGTCCCCGGGTCACAGCCGGTCGTTACCGGCTGTGTCCCAGCGATTAGCGGCAATCACTGACAGAGAGCACAGCTGCAGTAGCTGTGCTTTCTGTCAGTTCCCTGACAGCTCCTGACACACTGATCGGGACAGAAGAGTTTATCTGTCCCGATCAGAGGTGTTCCCTGCAGTATACACCCCCGCCCCCTAGTAAAACACTCCCCTCACACAGTTAACCCTTTCACTGAATAATAAAGTTAACCCCTTCCTCCCCAGTGCCATTAGTACAGTGACAGTGTTTTTTTTTGCACTGATCACTGTATTGGTGTCACTGGGTATGTCAGTGACCCCAAGTCAGTTCCCCCCAGTGTCAGAATGTCCACTGCAGTCCCGCCATAAGTCGCTGATCGCCACCATAAGTCACTGATCGCCACCATAAGTCCCTGATCGCCGCCATAAGTCGCTGATCGCCGCCATTATTAGTATAAAAAAAGATTAAAAATCCCAGTATTTTTCCCGCCATTTGTAAACGCTATAACTTTCACGTAAACCAATTAATTTACACGTATTGGGGTTTTTTGTAGCAAAGACATGTCGCAGAATGCATTTATGACTAAATTTGATTTTTAAATTTTTTTTTACTGGACATGTTTTATAGCAAAAAGTTCAAAATATTGTTTTTTTTCCTCAAAATTGTCAGCCTTTTTTTTTATAGTGCAAAAAATAAAAAACGCATAGGCGACCAAATACCACCAAAAGAAAGATCAATTTGTGGGAAAAAAAAGGATGTAAATTTTATTTATGTACCATATTGCATGACCGCGCAATTGTCCGTTAAACTAGCGCAGCGCTGTATAGCAAAAAAATGGTGTAAATTGTAGTATCTATACCAGCAATGGGCAAACTACGGCCCGCGGGCTGTATACGGCCCGGCGGACCTTTTAATCCGGCCCGCGGAGCTAGGCTCCTGCTAGGCTCCTCTCACAGTCCGCCCTGAAGACCGGTGTAGCATGAAAATCTGTCTCCTATGAGGATCTGTCCCCCTCGACGTATCTGCGCATGTGCCGGAGATCGCCGATCGGCTGCTAATGCCTGAAACTGGCACATGCGCAGATACGTCGAGGGGGACATCCTCATAGGAGACAGATTTTCATGCTACACCAGAACGGCGCGGGAACACGGCGAGAGGAACGCGCAGAGCAAAGGTAAGTGAATTGACACAGGGGGGACTTAATATGGGGGATGAATTAATATGGGGAATGAATTACTATAGGGGGGATGAATTACTATAGGGGGGATGAATTACTATAGGGGGGATGAATTACTATACGGGGGATGAATTACTATGGGGGATGAATTACTATATGGGGGATGAATTACTATGGGGGGTGAATTACTATGGGGGATGAATTACTATATGGGGGATGAATTACTATGGGGGATGAATTACTATATGGGGGATTAATTACTATATGGGGGATTAATTACTATATGGGGAATGAATTACTATGGGGGATGAATTACTATATGGGGGATGAATTACTATGGGGGATGAATTACTATGGGGGATGAATTACTATGGGGGATGAATTACTATATGGGGGATGAATTACTATATGGGGGATGAATTACTATGGGGGATGAATTACTATATGGGGGATGAATTACTATGGGGGATGAATTACTATATGGGGGATGAATTACTATGGGGGATGAATTACTATATGGGGGATGAATTACTATGGGGGATGAATTACTATATGGGGGATGAATTACTATGGGGGATGAATTACTATATGGGGGATGAATTACTATATGGGGGATGAATTACTATATGGGGGATGAATTACTATATGGGGGATTAATTACTATGCTTACTATGGGGGAATATTACTATACTTACTATGGATGACACATACACATCATTCATCTACTCTTGGTCCGGCCCCGGGTCCAATATATGAACCCATTGCGGCCCTCAAGTCAAAAAGTTTGCCCACCCCTGATCTATACCATAGTTTGTAGACGCTATAACTTTCACACAAAGCAATCAATATACACTTATTGGGATTTTTTTTTACCAAAAACATGTAGCAGAATACACTTTGGCATAAATGTATAACTAACTTTGAGTTTTCTATATATTTTTTATAGCTGAAAGTAAAAAAAATATTGTCTTTTTTCAAAATTTTTGGTCTTTTTTTTGTTTATAGAGTGAAAAATAAAAAGCGCACAGGTGATCATGTGGGACCTGCCTTGGAAAGGATGCTGCTGCAGAAGGCAAAATAGGGGAAAGGAGAATACCACAGAAGTTTATTTTCCACTTTTCCTTTGCCATTGTCTCCATGACTCTCTTCCCCACCTGACATGGCATATACTCAGTCTCTAATACCTCTAATACAGCAGGAGAATCTTTTGGGGGGGGGGGGGGGAATGTTGAAAGTGAGGAACGAGAGGGAGTTGACTAAACAATTATGGCTTCAACTACACCACTACATACTACTATACTACAAGTATGCAGTGACGTGCTGTGCAATCAGAAATTCAAAAAATGTCCTAGCAAAAAAAAAGTAAATTAAAATATAACAAAATAAACCCTGAATCACTGCAATTAAAAAACATTTTTTAATTCAATACCAATGGTTTCTATAATCTTCTAACAACAGCACATTACAATTATAACATTTAGTTGAAAAAATGACTACTCACAATATGCAGAGATTTAAAAGTATTTTTACTAAGTAGGATTGTTTGTAGTAATGTTGTGAGTAAGTATTGTTTTAAAAATTTTGAGCACACCTTAATTTTAATAGGATGTTCATCATGCTAACTTCATTTGCAAGAAGATTTAATTAGTGGTTGTCAGCACATTTTTCAGTTGACTAAAATGTTATAATGATGTATCTCTATTTCAGAATGACATAATTTTTCCACCTGCTTAGTTTCTTTTCATGTCCTATCAAAATTTTAAGCAAAGAAAAAATAAAAGCTTACACCCAGTTCCTGCCAAAATGAGCTTAGTAACAAAATATACAAAGGGCCACCCTTTACCATAGTACCTGGATCACACAACTTTCCTGTAATCCAGATAAGATTTTTATTTGTTTGCTGAGCTTAAAAGTATAGATTCTAGCTTTATCTCCTTCTAGGGAAAAATGTGTCATTTCGCAACTAGAAATTATTGCTTAGTTTTTAAGAAATAATTCATAAACAATAGCTCTATTTGATTGAAACAACTTATAGCTCAAAAAAGATGTTATTGCCCAACTCCAGGCACAGATAAGTGCATCTTTAATTTTTAGATTAATATTGTCTTTTTTTATTACGCAAGAAGTTAGAAGTACAGCTATGACGAGCTCAGGAGCTCTCAGCAGAAATTAGAGAGTCCTGGAAGTAATTAAAAAATAAAAGGATTACTAGGAAAATTAAAGCTAAAAATAGCTGTGAGTGGACTTGGCGTTTAAAGTCTATATGTAGCTTTTTTTTTTTTTTTTTTGGAGAGAAGGATGAAAACCCCTTATAGCTTATCAGGGATAGGGCCTAAGGACGAGCTGAAGGTATGGTTCAGTCTGACACAAGTTGGCAAGTATTACTGAAGTTCGGATCACAAATCTGAATGCAAATTTATCATTCAGTGGGGAGAGGGACTTTTGAGGAGGCTTAAAGGCAAACATTGAAGATATAAAAATCCTTCAAATTACATGCATAGGGGATCCCTTAAAGTTGTAAATGGTTGAACAGAACATTAAAATTCTCAGGGACAGTATCCGCAACACTGTATTGTGGCACTACATGAATTGCATGTGTAATAATTTAGTTTACTTTTATATTACATTACATTATTCGTTAGCTTACATACAGCAGCAGTAACCCAATATGGTTGATTTCCACAAAAAGAGTCTTTAATGGGTATTTTTATTCAAAGACAATAATTTTTGGCATAGCAATTATAATTAGAAGTGAATGTTGGAAGTAGCAGGGACAGCACTACTAAAATCTATTGCACAGTCTATGCTTTAAATATAAATGAAGCTGATGCTATCAACGTCATAGAAATTGCCAAACAGTGTCATAACAAGTGATATAGCATAGCTTGCAATCTTCTTTTCAGTGCCACATTGTATTTGTATGTGGCATAAAAACACCTTTAAACCACAAACCCACATTACAGAGTTGAGGCAGTTGTTAAGGCAAACTAAAAAACTACCAATAATGGTCCCTCAACATGATGCCAAGAATCCTAGGGTCCTTCCATATTATCTGGAGCATGAACAAGCCCATCAAACAGATGTTACCAGAGGCAGAGGAACCTGAGTCCTCAGGGTCAACAAGGGCGACACTGTCCACAGCTACCTCCCCCAGTTATGTGCGCATCCTGGGGTTTTAGATGAAACCCACATCTGAAAGCTTGCATCTGTCCTTCTCCTCCTCCTGAATGTCACTAAAGCAACCATACTCCACCACTTTGTGCTCCTTCTGTACCTGCTGAGGTCTCAGAGGGTGGGTTTCTGGATATAATTGGCCCTGAGACACCAGGAAGTCCTCCACTTTCTCCTGATGCTATTCCTCCATTCTATACTGCCAGGGTCTGCTCAGCCGGAATTGTGATGCTGATGTCTGCATTGTCACAGCACATCATTCTGATTGCCTCCTCAGGGACAGTACAGTGCATGAATCCTGTATGAGGAGTCACTGACATTAGGGAAAGAGCCCCAACTCTCTGTAAGCTGTCCTCATGCCATACTCCCACAGGCCATCAGAAATCAGGTACAAGACTTTGGCCAATGACAGTTGTTTGCAATATATTATGGGACATTCAACATAGCAATTCCTGCTAAAAGTTTAGATTTTTTTTTTTCAAACATCCAAAGAGCCACAATTCAATCCAAACCTAAGTTACTGGCTAATTTCTAAAGTAGTAAAAGTAAAGTAAAGTAAACAGTAAATAAACACACTGACACACTTTGACAAGTCCTTTATTTAAAAAAAAAAGTTCCACAATGAAGACCTACGCCAACCATGATGAATGATGCCCACCAACCCACCAAAAGAAAAACCCTGCAAGGATCCTTGGGATGTCACTAGCCAAATATGGTCATGTCCATATTTGGTCAATGATGTTACCCAGGATGGCCAACCCCTTTGTTTACATTCTACTCCAGGATTGGGAGCTGTCATTCAATGCGAACGAGAGACAGAATCATACATGA